TATACATAAACTCTTGAAGTTTATATGTCCATACATGTGATGCCATAGTGATTTCTTGTCTTCTTCTATAGTTGAAGCAAGACATTTGTGATCTGATGTGTTGAGTTCAACCTTGAACATTTTGTTCCCCACCAACGGTGCTTTCATTATTAGTCTCCCATCATCCCTATATACCCTCATCTGATTATTCTCCAACTTCATATTGAAGCCTTTTGCAAGTAATTGACCTACACTTATCAAGTTACTTGTCATCGGAGGTACATATAGAACTTCAGTGATAGTAGCCTTTCGACTATCCTTCCTGATAATTGAAATATCTCCTTTACCACCTGACTTGATATGCCTGCCATCTGCTAACTTTATCACCTTTTCAACTGATTCATCTGACTTGGTAAACCAGTTTTTATTGCCAGTCATGTGGTTGCTACATCCTGACTCCAGATACCACATGTTGTTTTTCTCAGTATTCAACTGAGTGTTCACCAGCAACAACACATCATCAGAATCACTATCTCCAGCTCGTGCATATTGAGCTTCATCACTATCTTTCGACTTTGCAGCTTTCTTTCTTCGACAATATCTAGCATAGTGGCCAAAACCTTGACAATTGTAACATTGCACCTCTTTCGTGTCAACTTTCTTCCCAGAATGCTTGTTGCCCACACCTTTCAAATTAGTATTCTTACTTGACTTCTCATCACCAACAAGATTCTTTCGCTGCTTCAACTTCTCTTTTCTTGCTGAATCTTGCTTGCAATGCTTGTTCAGCTGCCTTTTCTCTTTCTAAGTTTCTCTGTTGCAACCTCATTTCGTGAGCCTCCAATGAAGCTTGAAGTTCTTCCAACTTCATCTCAGATAGATTCTTGGCCTCTTCAATTGTTACAACAAAGTAATTAAAATATGCAATTAGAGATCTCGATACCTTTTCTATCTTTTGCAGATCCGTTAGCGCTTTACCACACGCCTTCATTTGGTTTGTTAGCGTCACCACTCTTGAGAAATATGCAGAAATAGATTCATCCTCTTTCATCTGAAGCATCTCGTACTACTTTCTCAGAGTCTGCAACTTCACCTTCTTCAGTTTCTCATCTCCACCATGCAAGGATTTCAGTTTTTCCCAAGCTCCTTTTGCTGTTTCTTCTTCAATTATCTTCTCAAATACATCACAATCCACACACTGGTGAATCAAGAACAACACCTTGCCATCTTTCTTCCTCTGATCTTTGTGCGCAGCTTTCCGGGCTTCTGTAGCATCTACATCTAGTTGTGATATTCCATCATTCAAGATTTCTACAACATCTTGAAATCTAAAAATAACCTTCATTTGTGCCACCCATCGTTGATAGTTTTCACCTTTGAAAACCAGTAGATTCGCTGAAAACTGTGTTGATGTTGTTGATCCGTTTGCCATTAGATTCTCTCTGAATCGCAAACAATCTCTTGGTATCAATTTGTTGAAATAAAGGATTCAAGAAAGAAGATTTTATGAAAAGAAGAAGAAGAGAGAGAGAATGATGAGTTAGTTATGCGTAACTAACTATCTAACTGATTTGTATTATTATTGTTGCTTGTTATCTACGAACATAATAACCCTTTATATAAACAAAAATACTCAAACCTAAATACATACTAAAAACTTAAATAGCTATATAACAAAAATTAATCAATTAAAATATGACCAATGTTTTAAGGTCATGCGATAACCCACTTTATTTGCGGGCGTAATTCTTAACTTTTACTATTTCAATTTTGAAGAACATGACTAGGAAGTTTTGTGGAATGACTATCCTGCAGACAATTGTCATTTAGTTGACCAATTTTACCTCATAGCTGCCGTGTATAATTACCCATTCTTCATTTTGTTTGTACTAAAAAGTCTGCAGTCCAGACGTTTTAAGACTCGTGCGACACATGGCTTTAAATTAGTTTATTTATTTTTTTTATTGAATTTTAAATTATTAAGAATTAATTTTGACAAAATATAATTATTAAATTTATATTATAATTTTTTTCTTTGAATTATAAAAAACAATAATATAAATTAATCAGATAAACAAAAAAATAATATATATATATATATATATATATATATATATATATATATATATATATATATATATATATATATATATATATATAATATATATATATATATATATATATATATATATATATATATATATATATATATATATATATATATATATATATATATATATATATATATATATATATATATATATATATATATATATATATATATATATATATATTTAAAAAGGAAATACATAAATATAAATTAATAGTGATATCTGTAATTTAAGTTTGCAAATTTACATATTTATAAAATATTTTTTTTATATTTATTTTTATTTTTATTTTAATTTATTAATATATATATATATATATATATATATATATATATATATATATATATATATATATATATATATATATATATATATATATATATATATATATATATATATATATATATATATATTAATATATATATATATATATATATATATATATATATATATATATATATATAATATATATATATATATATTTAGTGTTAAATAAAATTAAAAATTTATTTATAATTATTATCAAATAAAACTTTCAATAATTTTAAAAAATTTATGTTTATTTTATCGAACTTTATAAAATTATTATATATTATATTATTTTTTAAGATCAACAAGCAAAAAAATATTTTATTGTATTTAAATTTTCAAAAGTTCAAACTTGTGATCTTCAATTTATAAAAACATATCATAAAAATGAGTTTTAGAATATATCACATAAAATTATAACATGATATAAAAAATTTAAAATTATACTTGATGATGTGTTAAAATTATAATTAATAATTTATTATTATAATATTTAATGCATTTGATTTAATAGATTATATAAATATACCATTAATGGATATAAATGCTTACACTTACGTACGTCAAATATCCATCCGCGTATGAGATTGAGGACTGCAATTTTCCCAACATCTTGGACAACCACAAAATAATTTAAGATACAATTGCTAGGAAAAAAAATCAACTATAAAACTTTAGAAAACAAATTACCATCAAAATTACTTTTATATCCTTTTATCCTAATATTTATATTATGACACATCATACATTTTAAAGACTTTATGAAAAATTACTATAATTTATGTTTTGAATCTTATTTTATAATACCTGTATATATATCTTTATGAAAAACTTTAGAAAGAACACTTATTTTTTACTTTTTAATTATATTTTTTATAAAATAATTTATTTTATAGATAAGAGAAAATTAATATATCAAAGTCAAAATTCATCAAAATTACTTTTGTATCTTTTTATCCTAACATTTATATTATAACACATCATATATTTTAAAGACTTTATGGAAAATTTATATAATTATATTTTAATCTTATATATATATAATATATATATATATATATATATATATATATATATATATATATATATATATATATATATATATATATATATATATATATATATATATATATATGAAAAACTTCAAAAAGAATATTTGTTTTTACTTTTTGATTATATTTTTTTTATAAAAATGATTTATTTTATTTTAAATTAAAAGATAAAATTTTTATAGGAATTTAAATGTCAAATTTAAAATATTTATAAAAATTTAAAATATATTTAACTCATAAATAAAATAGAAAAATAAGCTAAACTTTAAAAATAAATAAAATAATTGATTAATAAATACATTAATATAAAAGATGAAGAACAAATATAAAAGATTATTTTCATATTCGTTGATCGATAAAGTTAAGAATTGATATCTTGACCAATCCAATAGCGTCACGACGGATTAGAATAAACTTTCGTATTATTCTTCGTTGAATTATGAAATAAACACACTATTAAAATTTAAAATATATCCAAGGTTATTACAAAAATGCACGTAGAGACCCACACTTATACATTTTCAAATTAGTTTTTAACAAAATGCGGTAGCTAAATCTCTTAAAAAAAGTGAAGAGGTGGCTAAATCAGTTCCGATGACGAATAAATGTGATATATTTGAAGTACATACTAATACATAAATATATTTCTGAATTTGTGAAAGACAATTTTATATTTTAAAAGAATGGCTCAACACTGAGGTGGGAAGAACACCCCTAAAAAACAAGTTAATATAATTCTCAGTTTTGGTTTTGACCCTATAATCCAATGAGTAGATTAAGCATTTAAATATTTTCAATCACAAACACTTTTCGTGTTTTACTGCACAAATTGGTAAGATTTTTATGAGTTGAATCTCTTAAGTGATTCAAACTTATAATTATTTACTAAAAATATTAATTAACAGTTTCACTCACGAATGAATGTGGTATATTTGAGATGCTTACAATTCTATATTTTCAAATTTGTGAAAAGCAATTTTAGGTTTTAAAAGAGTTTTTCAGAGTAAGGGTGGAACAACAAAACAAACAAAAACAAGTTAATAGAATTCTTAGTTTTGGTGTTTGCCCCTAGATCTAATGGATGGATTAAACGTATGTGATGATGACTTTCATAGCTATACCGTGTGAAATTAGTTCACATCTATTCTTCATTTTGTTTGTACTAAAATAAAGACTTGGCTGACCGTGTCAAACAATTGTCAATTTGTACACTTACATCAATTAGCCGCGTATACGAGAATGACGTCATTCTAAAAGTCTAAAAGTCGTCTAGTTTTCTTGCAATAACATTTAAGGTAAGGTAAAAAATGACCATACGGCAAGGTTAGCGAAGGTTACTACGCAATGAGCGGGAAAAATACGAAGAACAAAGCTGTTCATTCCTTTTCTTGGCTATATATATATATATTATATCGTATCTTATATATTAGCTTCAATTTCATTTAACCTAAGAACACAACACGCTAAAACTGAATCAGAAAACAAAAGCAAAGGTTCCATATACTAGTTTTCTGCTTCTAAACTTTCAATCTGCTGTGTAATCAAATTCATGAATAGCGCCACACATATTCTTGCCCTTACTACAAGATTTCATGATGTCTTAGATAAGATATTACAAATCCTTGAAAAAGCTAGAAACAACAAACGTACAAGGAGATTGTTGAGGTCAGCTTTAAAAGATTTAACTCCTCTTGTTAAAGACATTAACCAATACAATCAACACTTGAATCAACCTCGACTAGAAATTAACTCTCTCATACAAGAAAATCTTGTTCAACAAACTGCATGCAAATGCACTTCTGACAATACCTTGTGGAACAAGTGTCTCTCATGGTTCAGGAATGATAACGACGAATCTCTTACTGTGAAGGATGTTAAAGAGACACTTCATGAGGTCAGAGAAATTCTTGAACTTATCAACAATGAAAACTTTGAACACAAACTTAATGAAGAGGGAGGAGCACCATTTAAGAGTGCTTTTGGTGTTCCTGAAAATCCTGAATTCACTGTTGGGTTGGATATACCATTTAACAAGCTGAAAATGGAGCTTCTTAAGGATGGTAGTTCCACCCTTGTGTTGACTGGTATGGGAGGATTGGGAAAAACCACTTTGGCTACAAAGCTTTGTTGGGATCAACATGTTAAGGCTAAATTCAACGAAAATATCGTATTTGCCACCTTCTCAAAAGCACCCATGTTGAAGATCATTATAGAGACACTATTTGAACATTGTGGATATTATCCAGTGCCTGATTTTCAAACTGATGAAGATGCTGTCAAAAGATTGGGCCTTTTGCTGAAGAAAGTTGAGGGAAGTCCAATTTTGTTGGTTTTGGATGATGTTTGGCCAAACTCAGAAACCCTTATTGAGAAACTTCAATTCCAGATATCAGATTTCAAAATTCTGGTCACTTCAAGGGTTGCATTTCAAAGATTTAGCACAACATGTGTCTTAGAACCTTTAGTTCATGAAGATGCAGTAATATTTTTCAGTCACTATGCTAAGACAGAAAAAAATAATTCAAATATTCTCGACAAAGATCTCGTCGAAAAGGTACTTGCTCTTACTTTTTTAGTCTAAAATTGTTCATTTGAGGTAGACATAACAAGATTGTACTCATTGAACTCACTCAAATGCAGGTTGTGAAAAATTGCAAAGGTTTACCGCTTGCCATTAAAGTGACTGCAACATCACTCAGAAATCGGCCTTATGACTTTTGGCGAAAGATAGGGAAGGAACTATCACAAGGTCATTCTATACTTGATTATAACACTGAATTACTTTCTCTCCTCAAAAAGATATTAGATGTTTTGGAAGATAATCCCATACTCAAAGAGTGTTTCAAGGACCTAGCCTTATTTCCCGAAGACCATAGAATTCCTGTTGTTGCTCTCATTTTTATGTGGACTGAGTTGTATGAACTAGATGACAACGGAATTGAAGCAATGGAAATCATCAACAAATTAAGCTCCATGAATCTGGCTCATATCTTAATAACAAGGTACAATGGCTATTTTAATTTTTTCTTGGCCACTTAAATCCTTGAGTATGTTTAAGTTCTTAACCTCTTCTCGTTTACCAGGAAAAATGCAAGTGATGCAGACGATTACAACTACAATAACCACTTCATCACGCTTCATGATCTTGTAAGAGATCTTGGAATATACCAAAGCACCAAAGAACCAATTGAGCACAGAAAAAGAATGATCATTGACATGAATGAAAATAAATGTGAATGGTGTATCGCGTATAAGCAGCATGGCCTGATGATCCGCATATTGTCAAAATTTCTTAGTTTGTGCGCGAAACAAAATCGCCAACAGCTCAATGCTCGTATAATGTCTTTATCAACTGGTTAGTAATATTTGCACCTTCATCTAAATTATATTCACTTAGTCACATAAAAAACATGCTGCAATCTTCATTCATTCGTTTTCATTGGTTAATCTTGTATGTTTCCCTTTTGCAGGTGACACTTGTGCATCAGATTGGTCCCAAATTCAGACAGCTCAGGCTGAGGTTCTTATTTTAAATCTCCATACCAAGAAGTACTTATTTCCAGAATCAATGGAGAAAATGAGTAAACTGAAAGTTCTGATAATCACAAACTACGGTTTCCATCCTTCTGAACTGAACAACTTTGAGTTACTCGACTCTTTACACAGCCTGACAAGAATAAGACTAGAGCGGATTTCCATTCCTTCCTTTGGAACATTGAAAAATCTGAATAAACTATCGCTCTACATGTGTAATACGAGTCTTGCTTTTGAAAAGTGTAACATCCTGATTTCAGATGCATTTCCAAATCTAGAAGAGTTGAACATTGATTACTGCAAAGATTTGGTGGCATTGCCTAATGCAGTCTGTGATATCATCCCATTAAAGAAACTCAGTGTTACTAATTGCCACAAACTTTCTGTAATTCCTCAAGATATTGGAAAATTGGAGAATTTAAAACATCTAAGGCTGAGTTCCTGCACTGATTTAGAAGTGATACCGAATTCCATTGGAAAGCTTTCAATTCTAAGACATCTTGACATCTCAAACTGCATAAGCCTAACAAGTTTACCTGAGGAATTTGGTAATCTTTTCAATCTAAGGAATCTGTACATGGCAAGTTGTGCAAGTTGCGAATTGCCATTCTCAGTTGTCAATCTTTTGAATTTGAAGGTGATAACGTGCGATGAAGAGACGGCTACTTCATGGGAAGCTTTCCAACCTATGCTTCCCAATATGAAGATAGAGGTTACTCATGTTGATGTTAACTTAAACTGGCTTCATTAAATTATCTCCTAAGCCATCTTCTTTGGATAACTTCTCTGTGTCATTGTCTGTGTTTGAAATTTGTAATAATTCTTTTGTAAATATTGTGCTACTTGTTGCATAATATAGATAGGAGATTTGATATATATTGTGTGTATTATTTGTCTTGTATAGTCATTGATGTATGAAATTAAGTCAGTTGATGCATAATAAATTGTTGAACTGTTTTTTTTCTTTGTTTATCATCTTTCAATCTTATCTTCCTTCATTTTTGTTGTGATTTGGTTCTTGATTGTTGTAATGGAGTGTCATCAAAAACAAATTAAAACTATGAGAAAGATTGAGTTTCTTGAACAAATACGAGAAATTCTATTAAGTTTTCACGAAAGAAAGAGAAGAGGAAAGAAAAAGAAGAAATATTAGGATTGTTTGTAATTATTTTTCTATTCACTTTCTCTATTAGGGTTTAGAGATTACAAATGAATAACAATAATCAACCTCTCTCAACAACTTGAGAGAACTAGTCTATTTATAGACTACTAAACTAACTTAAGCTACAAACTAACTTAAATAATTTGACTAAAAAAGCAGGCTCAATTTGATATGCTAACAATCTTAACATTTCGACTATTGCATGTTGTAGCGTACTTCGACTACAACATGCAAGACTTCGACATCATCATATGAACAAACTTGGACTGCATATTTAATCTCTATAGAACCAAGAAGTTACCATTGTCGAGACTAGAGTTTGATCCAAAATCTCACAAATCTCCACCTTGGAACAAACTCTACAATAACAAGGAAACAAACTAGCTTTCTTCATGCAGCTTTATCAACTGCATACAGTGAAAAAATTTGCAGCTAAGCATTGACTTGGTGATCATATCAACAACATTATCTTAAGTTATCTTTGACTTTATGATTGACCTTCTTGTGAATGCCTTTACAATTGTATTTACAATCGTTATTGTAGTTGTCATCTTAGTTGTCACCATAAGTTATCATCATCAAAAGATGATACCTTGATTAAATATATATTGCCTGCAAAACAAAGTTCCAGAGTTGTTACTTATTCTTGTTTGAATGAGAGTAATATCTTGACGAGTTGTTTTGCCACAATTTGCCAAAGGGAGAGATCGTAATTCCTTTTGGATTGGCCCTTTGGATTGATTACATTTTTCTAGATAGCAACATGCAAAAGTGTTCAAAGTGTTGAAGATTAATCTAGTTTGCTAAAGCTTTATGGAGGTGCACAGGGGATACATATTGGACACAATGTCACAACATGTGGGTACGACATATGGGCCTTGCACAATAGGTCAATGTTGTTGCATTTTGGAGGGATTTTTTGTTGAAGATTCATTTATATTTTATTGCTTTTATTTAGCAATATGATTATATGATTTATTGAACAACTGTGAAGATGAAATCAATTTTAAATGGAGTTTTAAATTTAAATTTGAAACAAACCAAATTATATATTTTTTTGGAGAGATTTATGGAACAAATCATATCCAACTAATTGTGGAACTATTCTAGACGAAACGAAATCAAATATCCAAAGAGAAAAGCCTAGAATACTTTTGCTATATAAGGAGCTCAAAACCTACATTAGAGAGCAAGCATTCCCTCTGAAGATTTTAGAGTGCTTGATTTACAAGAGCCCTTGTTACTTTATGTAGACCACACTATATTTCAGTAACTTGGCATAGTTGTAGTTGAGTTGTAAATTCAACATCATTCATATTGCTGATTGAAGTTGATCACTAGGGTTTAATGATTGAAACACTAAGGGGTTAATGTTTGAGAGAAAAGAAAGTGAGAGTGTGTCTCATATTTAGGGAGAGTCATAAATAGAAATTTATTTGGTAGTGTTAGGAAGAGACATTGAACAACATATAGTTTGTTGTTGCTTGTAAGACTAAGTGTACTAAACTACTAATAGTGAATTTTCTTTCTTGGTTGGAAGCTAAACCTCCAAATGTAGGTGCTATTTGTATATAACTGGGTTACTAATTAGTTGTGTTATTTATTGCTTTTATACTCCATCATCTTGTAAAAGTTAGACTGTGTTAGTTGTGGTGTTTCTAGTTTAACTTGTCGAACCAGTTGCCAGGATATCACGTTCGACATCTGTCTCCTAAGGAGCATAATTTAAGAATAATCTAAACCTTCTTCATCCATTTCGACTAACTCATGTTCAGAAACTTGAGTGAAGCATCCCGACTTCATTATTTAATCCCTCTTGAGATAATCATCTATTGATTCAACCAATTTTCGTTTCACACTAGCTAATTCCTTCAGGCTGATCTTCAACGGACCCACGTCAAATTGCTCATGGAACACCCTTTTCAGTTGTTACAATTACATATAGAATTTTGAGGCAAGGCGGTGAACCAAATGAAGGAATTCTTGGTCAAAGAATTAAGGAAGTATTCCATCTTCAACTTTTCATTATTGTCCAAATCTCCTGCCTCTGATTGATATCGAGCAATATGTCCAACAAAGAGCTCGTTGGTATCGCCTGCAAACTTTGTAAACTTAATAATTTTCCAACTCCTGAAAAGTTCAGTTTGCAAAATGACTCAGACAAGGCAGGAACAAAATTAGGCCTATGAAGACCAACACTAAGACTATTTTGGGCTTAGATCTCTTATTCCACATTGACTATGTTATTTTTTCCCCAAGTTTGTTTTGTTGGACTCTCCCAATAACTTAGTCTGCATCCTGATTTCTTTTGACGATCAATACCACCTTTGGGCCAGTTTAACCTATGTCATCATCGACTACTCTAGGCATGGTCTGCTCGACTGGTTGGGACATAACTTGCCGTGGCATTTGGATATTAGGGACTGGTTGAATAGATTCTTGGGGAGCCCCAAAGAAGTATGTTATTCAACCCATTTGATGCGTCAATTGTTGGTAACTATGATTTGTGTTTTAGATCAAAGGATTAAGCATAACACCAAATTGATGCGTGAGCATCTTCTTCATATCATGGTTAATTTCATCCATTTATTGTCTCACAAACAAAAAGGAACTAGTAGTTAGGGGTGTCATAGCTTGAGGGATGTATCCTAACCCTTCTCGAAGTTGTGTCATTCGATTAATATTGCTTATAGAAGATGCTGATGCTAAGTATGGATTAAGAGGAGACACAATGGTCATTGTATTATCTGCATATGTAGATGCATTAGTTTGTAGGAATACCATCATTACGGTTGACATGTCATACATATATTTCCTACTACTTGGGGTAGCGTAAAGCTTAGAAGAAAAGAAGGCCTAGAGTCTCTTGTAATGTTTGGTAACCCTAAGAGTAGTTCGAATACTCGTTACTTGTGGTGGGGGAACCGCCACTTTTGTTAATGTCACTGAAACTGACATTTGACTCACGAAAGGAACTGTTACTCCAACAACGATTGTTAAAGTACTTGCACCACCTAGCGTCAATTCGGTTGGTTGTTCTTTTGTATTTGGAGCATCATTCTGGGAAGAGTGATATTTTTTGGACGTGTCATATCAACACGAGTTTTAACACTCCTCGGACATATAAACACTCAGACATGAAAATATTTCATATATGAAGAACAAATAAACAATAAAAGCATAAAACATTTTTTTTGCAAAAGTTTAAATTTATTGCACAAAAGGATTCCACTAGGCGTACCAATTTATTTACTGGTATTTTTAGTAAATCAAATCACACGTTTAATACATTTAACGGATTAAATTTGAAAAAATCCTAAGAATAATTTGTGCAAAGCAGTCGATGAATTGTGTTTGTGCTTGGATATTGATATTTGAATGTGTGGAAATTGGATAGAAATTCCTATTAAGAACAATGCATAATTGTTCGAAGAAATAAAACAAACAAAGAATGCAATAAAAGTAATAAAATAAATACTCTGATTAAAGAATTAGAAAAAAATACGCAAATTGATACATGTTTTCTCATAAACTCTTTTCTCTCTGAGACATGGATACTCGAGTTCTATAGAAAATACTAATAAATTTTATGAACCCTTATTATACGAATAAATCTGACTTATATATAAATTTTTAGTAATTATCGATAATGATTAACTCTTCAGCGTTCGAATATCTTTTTTAGCCGTCATTTTAAAATTGTTTATACATACTAACAAATTTTTATTAATTTATAAGAAATTATATTTTTTTCATAATATTTTAAATATTTATCCTCTTACTTCATCTTTTTCTCTCTATACAATAAATAATTAAAAATAATTTAAATAAAATAATATTAATAATATTCTACTTTTGACATTTTTTAAATAAATAATAATTTATATTTAATAAGATTCAAATTTAAGATCTCGAGAGAAAACACTCTCAAAATTCAGGATTTCACCACTAGACCAAATACTCTACTTTTGACATTTAAAAATAACAAATAAAAAGAAAATTCAAAATTCAAACTCTTAATAAATATACCAATTAATATAATTTTTTAAAAAAGATATGTTTATAATAATGATAAAAGGAATAATTAATAATCTATCATATGTCGGTAGTTAATTGTCTTTCAAGAAATTAAACCAGCACACTCAATTGAAATTAATCTTAAGGTTACACATCATTATTTTTTTAAAAGGTTACGTGTATTTTCTAGCGAAGCAATTTGATATATTTATATTTAGACTTTTAAATAATCAACTACATTACTTTCAAAATACTATTACTATTACTATATATAATTTCTTAATTAAAATATTAGGCATGTTTTGTTGAAACAAACAATGCTGTTGGTTTCTAACGGGACGCGTTATGTGTGTTCCAATGGAAGAATTTCTATCAGAGCAAACAACGTTCCGAATATTTAAGGAAATAAAAAACAAGACCACTACCAAAAGAATAGCTGCGAAGATTAGTACGCAATATGTGGGAAAAACAGGAAGAACAAAACTTTGATCATTCCTTTTCTGAAGCGATATATAAATATCTCATGATATGTTTCATTTCTTTCATAGCTATTATAACACCAACACATGAAA